TAGGGTGAATACATCTCATTACAATGATTTACTGGTAGTCTCGAAACCCTACTTTCTTACGAATATAAGAGCAGATTGGCCGAAGTGAGTCAAGAGCCTCAAGCCCACGACGCCAGGCGCCACGGCCATACAGACGATGACAGCGAAAGATGCCCACTTTTGTGTACGCTGCCAATTGCTTGCGATGGAAGTATTCTATTTTAGATATAAATGATTTCTTATGCAATTATTAATTCTAGAATAACTGCATATGCACCCTAGTTTGCTAAAAGGTGATTTAAGGACTAATATACGCCTTAAATAGGTTTCGAATGCAGAGTTTTTATTTTGGGTATCAAAAGTTGAGTTTTTTTACAATTAGATGAGTAGACCTCAGGATAGTGTTGAATTTCACTTAGCCCTGCCTCCCAGATGGCTATCTCATCCAGAGTGGACTGAGGCTTCGAGCTTGCCCAGGCCTCATCCGCACCTCAGCGGGATTCGATACAGGCTAGTGAGTACCATAGTTAAATTACAAATCTATTCTATTCATGATTACTGATACCAATGAGTCACAGGACAGATGTGACGCTCAAAGCAAGCCAGAACTCTCGCAAATCACATTTATAGTAAAACCTTCCACCAAGTAAAACCTGTTCGCCAGTTACTTATTTTTGAAAAGAACTGTTTCTGAGACTATCGGTAATTCTTGAATAAGAAGGTAACTAGTAGAGAAGCATATGAGATGTATTCACCCAATGAAGGACTGGTAGAAGAAGAATTTTCCCACAATCATATGAGTTGAGCTGACGTTTCCATTGAATTTCACATAGCCCTACTTTCCCAAAATTTGTTCTCATCCTGGCTGAAGTGGACTGCAGTTTCGACCTCGCATTTGTCTTATCAACACCCCCAGCGGGAGTCGAACCGTGACAGAGCAGAATGGGAGATTGACACGCTAACCACTCGTCCACATTGCCACGAGTGCTCTTGGGTCACAGGGCAGATGTGAATTTAAAGGATGGAATTTTCGATGAAGCAAACGTATATCTGCTATAACAATCGACTAGTATACTTTATTTTTCGAACTAAGTATTGTTTTCGTGACTACCAGTAAATCAGTAGTATGAGATGTATTTACCCAATTTAGTTTCAGGTGATGAAGAAGAATTTTCCCACAACGGAATTGGGTGGATACATTTCATATTACTGATTTACTGGTCGTCTCGACACAATACTTAATGCGAAAAAATACAGCAGAGAAGAACATACGCGTCCTAGCACAGCGAGGTTGTCATTCTATAATTGCTGATAGCCTCATAAACTACTTATATGAAAATAAGTAATGTCTATTGCACTAGTAATCGATACTTCCATTATACATTTTAGTTAGAAGGGGCCTTGCTTGCCTTGATTGTCGCATCTGCCCTGTAACCCATTGGTACCCCTGACCGTGTAATGGAGTGGAGTGGTAACATCACCACGATATTGACGATTTAATATGGAATACCGCTGCGGTTGTTGATGGCATCCCGGTTGGTGTTGAAGTACAGTTAACGCTGGAAGAGAATATTCTTTGCAAGGCTAATGGAAATTCAATGTGATCCTGAGGTGTGCTCATTTGATTGTGTGGGAAAACGCAACCATCAGTCCTTAAACCTGCTTAAGCAACCCAGGTTAACTAGGCTCCTATACAAGTATTCAATATTTAAATGGATACATTTTCAAGGCAATATAGTTTATATTTATTTGTTGTTGGAGAACTTGTCATTTCTTTGGAAGAGGCAGGTGGGAGTGATTGGTAAGTTGGCCTCACCGCAAGCCGAAGGGGGATTGCTCTGGTGCTGAGACTGTAGATTTATGCGAATAGTTTCTCGGCATAGCGTCCTGCGACTCTGGCAAATCCTTGTTGATGAACTGAAGCGAGCCCACTGGACCACGCTCTGCAGACTTTTACGCACAAATCTAGGCAAAGCTCTAAGAAAATCCTCCTTCGACGTATGTGGAAGTAAAGTTATGAATCTCTTCCATTCGCCACTTCAAACCAAATGAAAGGTATATTAATATCAATCTTATAAGGGATGCTTTAAAACCCAACTTTTTTAATATTTACGTATTTATCGTTTGTTTCAGGCCAGTTCAACTTCACGCATGGCCAATGTGCCCTCGAAGAATTAATGATGAGGCTTAGCTTGTTGCTGTAAATATAAATTATCTCTAAAGGCTACATACAACTAAAATGTTGACTGCATTTAAGACCTCGAAATGTAGTCACGCCATCATCACCTCTAGGATTTTACTCAGCAATTATATGATTCAAGTCTTGCCTCAGGGCTGATTAGGCGTTGAGACGAAGTCGAAACTTCAATGACGGTACAAACTGAAAAAAAGTGCTGAATAAATCGGGCGAACTCTTTCATTCGGCACGAACAGGCTCGGTACCAATCTGAGTATAGCTGAAGACCAGTGAAATAAAATAAATCTTGATAACACTCTCGTTGTGAAATCTTTCATACTTAAGTGTGCATTTATGGTTACAGGGAACTCTGGTAAGTGCGACGTATAATCGTTTGTCACAAATGTTGTTTTATATCACACACTGGACACCATACATGAAGCACGTATGTCATAATTTGAATTTACACTTCACCACTGCCTAGTGAAACACATATTTTATCAAAAGTTGTTGTGCACTTAATTTCGCTTCATGCACTGTTATTAAGGGCGTCATTTAGCAACCATACATGAACCAAGAGGAGATAACATCAAGTAGTAATACTTGCTGACTTGGATGACGAAATGCTGAGTTTTCGCATGTGTCTTATCGAACTCTGGAGGTGCTCGGAAGGAGAGAGAACGATGAAAGTATTGGGGACTTCTAGTTGCGATATCGTCTCAAGGAGAGGTGGTAGGCAGGACGGTTGCTAAGAGAGGAAAACGCAGACAGACCGGCGTGCAGAGGAGAGAAAGAGAGGATGTTTCCTGACGGACTGGCCGAGGCGGACTCCCTTAACTCTACAATAACATAATCACAAAGAGCAGCTGAAAGAGACGAAATACGGCAGCTTCTTCTTTTTAATCGACGCTGCATCTACAATAAAGTATTATGAATTTAGAGTGGCCGATACAATTCACGTATTCATGACTTTCAGCCTCTGGCAAAGATGGGTTGACGATGGCAATTACAATGACACACAAACACACACACAAATCAGTCACTTTGCAGATGATAGCATTCCCGTTCCGCTGGCAACAATCATTGCTCATAAGCGTTTGTCTGTCATGTCAGACATCGGAAGTGAAAATGATTCAAGCCAAACTCACAACCAAACCTAGTTTAAAAGCAAAACTCTACCAATTTTATTCTATATTGGCAGAAGCTTAGAGTCGATTAGGTCAACAAATCGTTGGATAAATGTGAGTTATTTGTTGAAATACACGCATAGACCAACTAACATTTTCTCATTTTCATATGTGTATCGTCTGAAATTATAAGTTATTCTCTAATAAGAACTTAATTATCCTAGGTTGTCCAAGTTGCTTTAAGGATAGATAATTAAGTTTTTAGAAAAATAAGATGAACATGCCTCAGGATAGCATCGAATATCATTTAACATTGTGATTTGGGATGATTAAGTTCTTAGTCAGGAATTAATGATAAACTTGAAAGCTACTCATTGTGGAAATAAGTAACGTCGTGGATAGAAAACACAGACACATCTTTGCTTCATTCAATATCCAACTATAAATACGAGTTGACAGGGTCTGTACTGTCTGTAGTGCTTTAATCAACATGCACGTCGTCACAAAATACACATGTCCTGGCTCATCTGTCATGGAACCACCTGACCACTGTCAGCTGGTGTAGCTACAGCTGGCCCGAAACATTAATCGAGTCAAGAGTATGAGCAAATTATAATTTGGAGTGGAACCGAAAAGATACTTGCTTTACACTATTCGAATGCGTGCTATTTTGTGGCATTCTTGGTACCGTCTTAGGAGTGATCGCGTGACCAGGCAGACGCCAGTTGGGCATATCATCTTTGGATTAGTGGAATGCTGTGTCCGGACATGTCAGATCCGAAATGACTCACCGATCGGATAGGATCACCCTTCAACTTGATCAGTGGTTCATCAAGACTATCAGTATATCTGATATAAGAGCTGTATTCACCCTGTTTACGATACGCTGATGCATGAAACTCAGTTGACTTTTGCACAATCGTTTGATTAGCCCTCATGCTCCTATTCAAGTTCCAACAGGCCTGCTTCCCAAAATGCATTCTTCTCCAAGCAGCAGTCGACTGTAGCCTCGAACTTGCTCAGCTCTCATCAGCACTCCCAGCCACAGTCCAAACCAGATGGTGCAGCGCAGTCTTGAAATGCTAACCGCTACGCCACACTTTCCAAAGTGCCAATGCGTTACAGAGTAGAAGAGGATTTCACGCAAGTCGACGTCTTTTCCGAATCACAAATCTCTGCTGGGATTGTTGACGAAGCAATCATTTGCACTACTTTTGTCAGTTTATAAGTAGTTGTTCGAGACAACCAGTAGAGCGGATATCAGACGTGCATTCAGCACATTTCGTTTTCCTTCCCAAATGACTGTTCGCCAGGCTTTTAGGCAAGTTTCTTTCAAGCCTGTGCTTATCTGTCACTCGCCTCAGCAAATGCATTCATCACATTCTTATGTGAATCCTACAAGGTCCAGATGAGGCTAATCCTTTCTTGCTGCCAGCCTACTTACACATCTTTTGGTTCATCTTTCCTACTGCAGCTGTTAGCTCCCTTACGTCACATGCATTGCCATCTCCCACTCCTGACTGTGTGCAAGGAGCCATAGTCAATATCTGCATGTGAACATCTGCAACCCACTTTGGTTCCGACCAATCGACTTTGTGCAGAGCACCGAAATTGACTTGGAAACTGGCAGAAGAGGACCTTTCCAACCAATCAGAAAGCGGCATTTAGACCACGCAATCCAGACAAGCTCCAATGCTTGAAACTCTCACAGAAGCAAGTTATTAAACAACAGAAAGTAAGAGCTTCACCCGGGCAGCTTTAGATAATATGGAGCTAATTGTTCATTTTGCCAAAATCAGATGCGTGGTCCTCACTATGCAACTGAATTTCCCTCAATATTCGCCCACATTCAGGCTGGACAAAACTGTCATTTCGATCTGGTCTCCAATGCAATCGAACCCATAACATGAGTGCAAAGTCTATTTTCCACGTACCACCATTACTCTAGACTGTCACGGTCACGATTGGGCTACAAGCAGGCGTGCATTTTGGAGCAGTCGTGGCCTCTTTCATATCAATTTTTGTTGTGTACTTGTCTCTGTAGTAAGCATTACAGCCAATAAAGTTATCTGTCTTCGAATGATATGCGCAAGTTTCACAATAATGCTCAATTGTAATACAGGAAACCTTGTATGCTGTCATGACAAATGCATGATTGCTTCAGCGATAGCCGAAATATTTACAGAATTGGAATGAGATAGGCCTAATCTGTTAAGGAATTAAGGTATGCATTCTGACTCACTGGCGCTCGTGGCAGTCTCGTGTAGTGGTAACATGTTGAACTTATTCGAGGCACTTACTGCTTTTCGAACAATCAGGCTTCGTCGACATTTAAACCACAAAAGTGCTCAATCATGCCCTCTTGTACTCCAAATTTGCATCCTCCACCCACAATCTTTTTTACTAAGCACATCGTTCCAATGTGTTATCAAACCTGTATTATTTTATAATATCCCTCTAAAAAATGACATTTATTTCATGAAATAATTCAGTTTTTGACTCGCGAATCGTACTCCATCGTCGAATACGTGACCAACTGGAAGAAACGTACCAGCAAGATTTCAGAGAAACTTGTTCAGGACGGACCCGGCATACAGAGCGACGTCCGCCGTCAGCGCTTCTTCAAGGCCACCGTAATGGACGCTTCCTGTGATGAGGTGCTCATTTCGCGCTATCTCACACCCCTAAACCCTCCCGACGGCTTCTTGCCGACCGAAGAAAATGGATTTACTCTTGACGAGGCAATGGTAAGCCTTTACATTTTTGATGCTTAGTAGGTATCTGCTCAGGTTTCCTGTCCAAACAGTCTGCGAGTTGTCCCTTGCGGGACTCTAAATATCCTATTTTATTAATTCCCACTTTACCAAAAATCCCCCTTTATTGTGAAATGACGTCCCATTTTGAAGATAATTTATTTTTCGAATTAAATATTGTTTTCGTGACTACCAGTAAATCAGTAGTATGATATGTATTCACCCAATTTCGTTTACGGTGATGAGGGACTGGTAGAAGAAGAATTTTTCCACAATGATATGAGTAGAGCTGACGTTTCCATTGAATTTCACATAGTCAGCTCAACTCATATCATTGTGGGAAAATTCTTCTTCTACCAGTCCTTCATCCCCTTGAACGAAATTGGGTGAATACATCTCATATTGAAGATAATTTAATTGAAATTATTTAGCTAATTGCTTCCCCTCGAAAGTGAAGCAGGCTTGCTTCAGGGTGGAATAAGGATTCTTGTTTGTACTAAGAAATCATCGGCTCAGCGTCCTACGAATCCGATGACTATATAGTATGCCTTCCTTCGTCATGTGAAAGACATCATCAAGGCGAGAAATCATACTTTATGAATGAGAAGGATTCAGAACAAACTGCTTTACAGGCTACGTGGGTTTCACATCCAAACGTATGATTATGGAGTCTATAAAAAGGCATAAAAAGGCCAACATCCTGCCAGAATAGGAGGAACGAATCTATAAAATTGTTGGAGAAAATTGAATAGACTTACGGAGAGTCAAGAAAAGAGGGTCAGGAAGAATCTTAGAGCAAGAAGAGGAGGCTCGAAGAGCTTTGATTCTGATTCGGGCTCTCACACTTCACATCACTTGGACTTTGCATACACGCAATGAGCAATACCGCCCAAGTAAATAATGCAGAATCATATGTTTGATTATTTAGTCAAATAAACAGTGGCCTCTAAATCCGCTTCCTTATCATGAATCTACCAAAAAGATATAAATAAAGTGTAAGTCATGCTTGAAGTTGCCAATCAAATCATGGTAAGATACATTATGATGAAAAGTTAGATAAAAGAAGCGAATTCACGTTAGGCCTCTTGCACCAACCACATTTGTTAGCACAGGCTATTACATTCCTCCCTATCTGAGGTGACTCACCAGCTGAGCGTAAAAGGACGAATGAAATAAATTTTTCATATCCGCTTCAGCTTACATAAGGCATGGTTTTAGTCCGCAAATAATTAGGGTCTTTTTCGTGTACGAGAACGAATTTTGTGTAAAACCTATTGCTCGTACATTCACCAAATCGCTTTCAAGTGGCGCAAATTTTTTAGCTTTAGTACCAAAAGATAATTTTTTGCTGGCTTATGTTCAAAGAAGCCCTCTTAATAATAAGCCACTTGGCAAAATAAACACATTCATATTCCTTCAAATGTTACCGACTCTCACGGCTCGACTCCCGCTGGGAGTGTTGATAAGAACTATGCGAGGTCGGAACTGCAGTTCACTTCATTCTGGATGATAACACCTTTTGGGAAAACAAGGCAATGTAAAATTTAATGGAAACGTCAGTTCTATTCATATAATTGTGTGGAAAATTCGACTACCATTCCTTCATCACCTTATACGAAATAGTATGAATACATCTCATATAAGTTATTTTCTGGTAGTCTCGAAACCGCACAATGTTTTATAAAAAGCAGAAGTAAATAAACGAAATATATATGCTAAATCGCGATAAACAAAATGAATATAATGCTTATTAAAAATACGAATTTTATAAGTAACTTTTAACAATTTGGTAAAATCTGCAACACTCCGGCTAAGGAGACTTGGTTTGGTCAGCCCTTGACTGATTAAATGTTACACTCAATTAAAGCAAAAAAAAACAAAAAAGAAAAGAGGAACTACATTCACAATAATGAAAATTGTTCAAGAATGTGCGAAAAAATATTAGAAATCATATTGGATCTTGCTTATTCCCCAAAGTTTTGATGATTGGTCGTCATTTGGACAAGGAAGATTTTGCTGTGAGAGGGGAAAAGTAGATTTCAGGCTCAAAAATTTAAGTCTGATAAAATATTCTGGCATAACGAAGTGGGGAGTGGAGTACGACTCAATAAATCTGCTTACAAGCGCACACTTCTGGAATAGGTCAGAATGCACAAGTTTTAATCTGTGCCAATGAAGGTTAATGCACTAAGAGTGGAAGGAGATACCACAACTGTCCAGCAGAAAATTGTTCAATGCATGGACTCTGCTTGTCGCTATGACGAGTCGTAGTTTGATGATAATGATAACGATACTCATGGAAGATGTCGGATAGGAAGCCAGCAAAATGTCGGAGAATGAAGCAATTCCATGATGCTACGTTGGAAAGTAGCATGACTGCTATCGCGGAGGACGAAGTGCACTCTTCGAGACCGCCTTGACAACACGACGAAGTTACGAAAGCGAGAT